GCCCCATGTTGGCAAACCTGGGCTCTGATTACTGGGGACATGGGCTGGTCATGTACCTGGATCCCCCAGAACTCCACCAGCTCAGCCACTCCTGTGAACCTGCTATTGGAGTACCACACATGGTGGCAGCTGAAGGCATAACTCTCTTGGAGCCTGAAGCTATTGGGGAGCACAGGGAAGGAGGTCCCAATGACCAGAGCCATACAGGAGGAGGGTGGGCTCTGCCTGGGGTAGGGCAAAGGTCAGGCTTCCCTGGCTCCCAGGAACCAGGCCTTGAAGGAGAGTGGGATTTGACTCAGGTGTTAAGAAGGCTTCTGGGTCAGAGAAAGGTGACAAATGCCAAGGCTAGAAGGGATGGGAGGGGAGGAGGATGGAGGGAGGAGCCTAGCTGCTCTTTCCCTGGCAGCCTCCTGCCTCCCCCCACCACCCAGTCCTTGGCAAACTGGAGAGGGCAGGCTGTTGAGCCATCCCAAGGTCACTCAGGATGTCCAATAATTGTCCTAACACTTTACCTGCCACAGAACAATAATGAGAGGGTTTCCATTATTTTCGGGTGAGTGCTCCTGGCAGATGCCGACAGCCAGCAGATGTGTAAAGTCCGAGGTGATTTGTAAGGGACCAGCTCATCTGATGCACAGTAATTGCACCGGGCGAGCAACATTGTCACTCAGGGGTGCATCCTGGTCTGCTGAGATGAGGTAAAGGTCAGTTCAAAGATTCAGTTTGGCCATAGGACATGGGGGCAAACCCCACTCCCACGGGGATCCAAGGGGGGGGTTATTGTGCTAAGTGGCTCAGAAGGGCTTTTAAGAGAGCCAGGGCTCTGCAGAATCCCACTCTCGCTGGGCCTCTTTGGTGTACATCCCAAAGTGTAGCCTGCCCTAGCTGCATGACTCTTGCAGCTTTTTGGAAGGTGCCATCCTAGGCTTCCTTGACATTCTGGAATTCTTGAGTTCTAGGACTCCCAGGGCCAAATCCACAACGCTGACAGCAGATTTCAGGGAGAGACATGAAGGTTTGGTTCCTCAGTGGTCTTAGTCTGCTCAGGCTGCCATAAATGGAGAGAACTCATGATTTAGGCATCAGATGTTTGTTGGTTCATTTGTAGTTCTGGAGGCTGCAGTGTAAGAACAGGGCGTCAGCATGGTTGGTTTCTGGTAAAGGCCTTTTCCTAGCTTGTAGGCAGCTACTATATTGCTATATATTCACAGAACCTCTTTTTGGTAAAGGCAGAGAGGGAGACAGTAAAGGGGCAAGGGAAGGAGAAGCCAGCACAGTACTCTCAGGTGTCTTGTCTTATAAGGACACCAGTCCTATTATGTCGGGGCTTCCATATTTGATTCTTTTTAACCTTAATTACCTCTTGGTAGGCACTGTTCTCCAGATAGTCACATTGGGGACACGGGCTTCAACATCTGCCCACTGCTTAGACCCCATTGGTGTTTGTTCCCCTATATCATACACTGTCCCCAAAGTGCACACACAGGTTCTGCCCACACAGGATACCCTGGAACAGAAGTGGGCCTGCTACCCCTGCCCAGGACATAGGGTTTTTATTTGGGGTTCTTGAGCCTTTTGTCCAGCCGTGTAAAGACCTGCGCACACCACTGCAGACAGTTGAGGGTATATAGATTTGTCCCAGAAGATGGTGACCTGGATTGAGTGGCTGTCCCCAGGAGCCTCCACTTTCTCATCTGGAGAGTGAGGATGATGGTTCTCACGTCCTAGGCCTGATTACTCAGTCAGCTGGTGCTTAGTGCTTACTGCCAACTGGACACCACTACTTTCTTCTGCCCTTGGAGCAAGAGGAGAAGATCAGGTCATGGGCACTGAGTGGAGGCATCATGTCACTTCCTGAGAAGCAAGGTTCCATATAATGCCCTATTGATATTTCACTATTTTAGTAATTATTTTAATAGTGATTACATTTCATTTTTAGTATTTTAGGATGATGAAGAGAGAACCTTCAAGAGGCCCCTAGTGGTCAGACAGGGTAGGACCCCAAGGGAGGACATTACCCATGCATTTCTTACTAGATTTTCAGGGATGGACCCCACTTCTAAAACTAGTACTTGGATTTGGAAAACATATTGTTTGAATAAACTGATGTTGCTGTTTCAAGGGAGACTCAGGTGTAAGTATCCCAAAGTGAGTTGTGTGATTTACTCCCTTCCATCCACATCTAAAGTGACAGATGTGAGGCTCTGCCATCTCACCGCGACACCGATTGTTCACTGTTCTGAGAAGGTCACATCATCATTCATTAGCAATAATTAGTCCCCCGGGGCCCCCTGCACTTCTTCACTCAACTGCTCCATTAACTTGGGTGCAAATCACACATTCCAGACACCAATCAATGAAGATTTGCCCATAATGTACAAGGTGATGCTATTAGTTACAATATATTAACTACTTAATTTAAAAATAAAAAAGCTATCTTTTTGAAGGGCAATTAACCACTAAATGTAATTGATCATTCATAAACCTCTGATTAGGAAAGACAAATAATAAGAAAGGAATGAATCACCTGAGCTGCGGAAGACATGTTCAGCATCTGGGTCTGTGTTTTCACTCTGCTAATAGTTGGTCTACAGACTTCTTCCTAAGTTACTCCTGGCAGCTCCAGTGCTAGGAGGGTCCCTAGGCTCCCTGAAACCTGTTTATTTCTGCTGGGTCTTGGGAGAGTATGCAGACTCAGGGACAGCCTAAGAGAAGCAGCTGGGGAGGTCATTTAGACTTCTCCACCAGTCATTCATTCAGCAGACACTTATCAAGGGTCTGCCATGTTCCAGGCACTGGGGATGGCATGGAGAACAGAACAAAACCCATCCTTTGATCATCACTGAGGGTGAGGTTTTATGAAGTCCTCCCATCCATGCTAGTAACAGGCAGACACCTGGCTTGCCCCTGCCCTCTTAGTGGTCCTCTGTTCCAGCCTCATTTTCCACATTTCCCCAAGCAGTTGGTGTCTTTCTACTCTAGAGGTTAGAATATGTTCACCTGCCTGTCCACAACGGTGGGCTGCTCTTCCCTCTATGTGGCCTGTGGACTCTGCTGGGTCTGGATCTTCTAGGAAACTCCCGCAGAGACCTCACATGGGGTTTGAGCTCTTCTTCAGCATGACAGCATTGGGAGGCACCAGCTTGGGTTCCCCACACACTTCCGTGGGGTGAAAGTGAAATCAGCCACATCCCAGAATGTCTGCCTTATAAGGAGGAACAGAAAACCCTGGACCTGTCTGGGATTCAGTTTTCTCACCAGGAAGTGGGATAAATTGGTTGAGTTTTTGGTGGAGTCTTGTCCAGTGGATGCTGATTCCAGGTGACAGTTCTGAGCAACTGGATGTAATCTATGTATTGCCTCTAGACTCCTTTGGTTGGGGCTACATCTGTAAAATCGAAATGTAATCATATTCCTCTTCTCTATATGTGTTTTTAAATAAATTGTAAGTTATGCATTTAAGACTTATTAATTTAGTACTCAGATTATTAAAAACCTAAGATTGAAAAGATATATGAAAATTCAGAACATCCTCCTTTGCCTTGGAGGCCAGGGAGATGGGCAAGTTTAGGGGCATGTTTGCGACCTGGGCCAGGTGACCAATAACATTGTTGGTTAATGATGCTAGGTTTTCTTACCTGTGCCTTCTTGGCTTTAGGACCTGCTCTGGATTTTCCCTGTGACTCCACACAGCACCTCTGTGCAAATGTCATTTATAGTCCCTGTTTTGGCAAGTCTGGGCTTTTCCAGGGCCAGGTGATTTGGGCCAGGGAGACAACAGGGCAGATCCCAACTGCCACCAACCCACCTCCAGCCTGTAACACCTGTATGTGCAGCCTGCTCCCACAGAGTTAGCCCTTGCTGGTGGGCACCAGGCTCCCAGTCACCTCTTGCACAGATGGGCCTTGCCCAGTGTCCACTTTCTCTCTGCCTTTCCTCTACCTCCTGCCAGTGTCCTTGGTTCCAAGGGTCTCAGCTCCCTGGTTGCTTCCCAGGAGGCCCATCCCGACCTTTAGCCTCAGCTGGCAGCTTTTTCTCTTCATTGTTTGTATCCTTCATAGAGCCTCCCCTCAGCTGCAAATCGCCTTTCCTCTGGAGGTTTCCTGTTTGTCACCTGCCTCCTGCCCCATACCATGGACTGTGGCCCGGAGAAGTGTCCTTGCCTGTGTTCACAGCTGCAGTTCACAGCTGCCAGTCTGACTGGCACTTGGTAGATGTTCAGTCATTATTTGTAGGAAGGTTGAATGGCCTGCATGTTGTGGCTTTGTGTTCTGGGAACTTGTCCCCTGTGGTGCCCACCTGGGAAGGATAGCAGTGCTGCTGACAGTTCATCCTACTATGATTTTGGATTCACATGGGATTGGGTTCTATCTGTCTATCCCAGAACCATCCATGTATCAAATGACTGAGTTGTCGAATTTTCCTCACTGACATCAGTGAACTGGGCCTCAGCTAGACCCCTCAGCCTTTGCCCTTTCTGGGAAACATGGACTGTGATAGATAAGGCATGGATATACAGAGCTCAGGTGAATGTGCAAATATGAAGTGTTGTGGAAAGTTAGAGAACAAGCTCTGGACATTCCAAGATGACCTCTACCCAGGCCAAGTGGGAAGGTGTGTGGAAAGTCAGTGCTGAATGGTCTTGAGGTAGGGATAGGATTGGCACAGGTACAGAGGTAATGTCCCAGGTCAAGGGTGCAGAATGTGTCCCAGTTAAAGAGGCACAGGAAGAGAAGAGGGAGCCCTGGGGAGTTCAGGTGTATTAAGACTAGTGAGGATGAGCAGGAGCCTGTGGAGCACGGTCTGGAAGAAGGGATCTGCTCCTCTGCAAAAATCCCAGCCCAAACATACCTGAGGTCAGTTAGGGCCATCTCAGGGACATAGTGATCTCAGCTGCTCTGGGACTTGTCCCTTTGCCCTTAGAGAAGTGTCATTCTCTGGGTCCCTTCCCCAAATGCCACATGCTGACAACACCCTCTCCTGTCATTTCCTTACCTTAGACTGAAGCAGTCCCAGCTGAAGGTGAGATTCTGTACCAATGAGACACAGAAGTCCCTGGGAAAGCTAGTGGGGTTGCTTCAGCAACTGGGATTCGACATCTCCGAGAAGGAAGTGACTTCCCCAGGACCTGCTGCCTGCCAGATCCTAAAAGAGCGAGGTCTGCGGCCACATCTGCTCATCCATGATGGTAAGTCTTCTGGGCCTTGGGACTACAAGGGGTCCCAAGACAAGATGGAGGCAGGAAAGATGGACTGTACTCTGACAGGGCCAGCCACAGGGAAGGACACTGAGGTAATACCTGGCTCCTGTCATGGCGCTGATGGCCCTTGGGGTATAGACCTTATGGGGCTCCCTGCTGGGGATGAGTTAAGACCAGCCCCATCCTCTCCACAGGTTGTTAGCCACAAGGTTGTTAGCGGCCAGCTCCAGATGGTCCTGAGAGAAAAGCTTAGGATGGCATCCCCTGGCCTGTATCAGACCAAGCAGCCAAGGAGTTGCCTGTGGGACAGTGTGCTAGTGCGTGTTGAGAGATGGCGTTAGACAGTGACAAGACAGAACCAACACAGAAAGCTAGACTGAAGTCTTTACCTTTTCTAAAGTCTGGCAGTGTACCCTTGAGCACTGATATCCAGCCTTGCCCTTTAGGGCAGCTTGACAGTGGCTGTAGAAACAAAGTTTGCATCCTGATTATTTAGTATGAATGCAAGACAAGAACCTCTTTGACCCTCAGTGGGGAAATTTGAGAGGCTGAAGTGGAAGGAGTAATATAAGTATCCTAAATAGTTAAAAGAGAAGAGATGAACAGTGCACTGGAATTTAGGATGCTTCTCTGACCTCCCTCAGAGTGTTTTCCCTGTTTTTCTCTGTACTTTTTCTTAATTTTTTTTTTTTTTTTTTTGTCTTTTTGCTTTTTATCTGTACCGGGGATCGAACTCACGACTGCCTGCTTGCAAGGCAGGCGCTTATGCCACTGAGCTAAATCCCCAGCCCCACTGTTTCTTAATTTTAAAAATTGTTTTATTTTAATGTAATACAAACAGATATTAATAAAGAAAATATAAAAATACTTCTTATTTCTATGAAAAAATAAAACAATTTCATAACAAAAATAATTAGAGCATAATAAAGGTTAATACACTGTATCTTGATCTTAAAGAATGGCCAAAATGTTACTCAGAGTACAAGATATAGACAAAAAAAGACCTTGTCTTACAAAGAAGAAATAAAAGAGTAATGAGCAAAAGAAACTAGTAGTATAAATGAAATAAGGTAGCATTTATCGTACTTGATCTTTATTTTTCAAACCAGTGGGCACAGGCAAGCTGCTTTCTCCTTCCCAGAGGAGGAGTGGGACTTTGAAAGGTGCAGGGTGCTTCCCAGAAGGCTCAAGGGTCAAATTTGTAGCCCCGCTACCAGTTAAGGGCAGCATGCCCAGCCTTTAGGGACCTGCTTCTTGGAGTCCTTTCTCTGTAGTTTAAGACCTCTGCCAGTGCCTTTAGAATGTGGCTCTCAAAGAAGAAAAGCCTTAAGAAATTCTGTCTCCCTGGACTCCAGAAAAGGGTTACTAGTTATGGGAGTAGGAATGGAAGAGGCAGGGAGCTGAGGAAAATATCATATTTGCTTCTAAGGTGATGTTAAAGAACTCAACGAACGTTGGGCAAAGCTTTGTTGACTTTTGACACAGGTGGTAACTTCAGGCACATTATGATCTAAAAAACTTTATTTAAAAAAAAAAAAAGAATGGGGAAAGCTTGAGAGGGCTGAAATGGTGTCAGAGGCCCTTGCTGGGCTTTCATTCTGCATCTGTGCTTTCAGTAAATGGACCTGTGTCTTTAGAGTTTGAATTTGTTTTTCATGTATTATGATTGACAGATTTCCCCTTAATATTTCATTTAAAAAATTTCAAACATAGAGCCAAGCTCAAAGAATTTTACTTGGAATTTTTTTCATATCCATCTCCTAGATTTTCCCTCTATATTTATCCATCCCTCCATCCATCCATTTGTTACTTTTGGATACATGTCAAATAAATCATAGACATTGATATATTTTCCTTAAGCAGTTCAGCATATCATTAAATAAAGTTCAGTGTTTGTTTAGTTTTTTCTTTTGATGTAAAACTGACATATAGTGAACTGCTTGAATCTCAAGTATACTTTTACTGAGTTTTGATGAGTGCTTTCACCTGTGTAACCCAACCCCATCAAGATCTAGAACAGTGGTGGTGAACCTAGAGCACTCGTGCTGCAGAGGGCTGTGTCACTGAATGCTCTAAAAGGTTCACCATCCCTGGTCTAGAACATTATTATCACCTAAAGCTTCCCTCATGCTCTTTCCAGCTAGGCCCTACCATCTTTCCACTAGCGGCAGTCATAATTCTAATATTGTCCATTATAACGAAGTGTACTTATTCTAGAATTTCATATAACTAGAGTCATATAGTGTGCAGTTGTGTCAGGGCACCTCCAAACTACACCCAGACTTGACAATTCCTGGAATGATGCATAGGACCCAGGAAAGTTGTTACACTCATAATTACAGTGAACAAACTACAAATTCAGCAAGAGGAGGAGACACGTGAGGCAAAGGCCATGAAAAACCATGAGGTCCCTTTGTCTGAGATGTACTTAATTGTTTCAGTAGTGATGTGTGACAACAACAGTGTGAAAGGCTAGCAGGCAGGGACGCTTAACATACCCTCAGCATCTGTGGCTTTTGTTACAGGTCACTCATGTAAGCGTGTAGGACCCATGTGACTACTTGATCTCCAGAGGGAGATTAAATGGATCCAGCATGGCCCCAGGCCTCAGACACACAAGCAAAGCTCTCAAGAAACTCCTGGGGGAGGACTGTGAAGGAATGAAGGCAAGAGTGAAAATGCAGAAAGCTGTCAGGTGGAGCTCTTTCTCTTGGCAGAGAAAAGAACCCCCTAGTGACTGCAGTGCATTTATTTATACACAGGTTGATGTCAAGTAGGGTAATAGTCCACTGATGTGTTAATAGATACCTGACTGCTTTCTGGTTTCAGGTTATTGTGAATAAATCTGCAGTGAATACTTATATGAGTGTAGAGGGCCATGAGTGAACCTCCAGGTGACAGTAATGTTTTGGATCTTGCTGGGGATCAAATTACACATAGGGTAGATACCTAGGGGGAGAATTGCTCGGCCACAGGGGGCAAGTGTGTTTGGTTTTATAAGGAATTTTCAGCTGTTTTCCCTTATGTATTTTATACCTCATCAGCTGCTGTACTTGCTCCTTGTCCTCATCATCACTTGGCATTATCAGTCTTTTTAATTCTTGCCTTCTAATGTATGTAGTGGACTCAGGCTGAATTCATACTTGTGATCCTCCTATCTCAGTCTCCCAGGGTGCTGGAATTGTGGCCACGTGCCAGCACACTCAGCTCTACTTCCTTTTTTCTTTTTTTTTTTTTAATCCAGAAAGTCAGCATCTAATACCAAGAGAAATGGGAACATGCTTCTTCTAGAAACTGAAGACATAAAGCCAATGACTATCCTTGCAACTTTCCTTACATTAATTGAAAATGGAGGAGGGCAAAGGAGGAGGGCAAGGAAAAGACTTTCTCAAGGGGGCTGGTGAGCAGCTGGGTGGGGCGAGAGTTGGCTCCTTCTCGGAAGGTTTGTGCCAGTGGCTTATAGTTGGGGTCCAGCAATATCAATCTCCGAGTTGGAAGCAGCCTTGTTTTATCCTGCTGCTGGAAATCTGTGTCCTTGGACAGGTTTTCCTCTTAGTTGCAAAACTGTGGATGTCATTTCTCAGTATTGAACTAAGGAGCTCCTGGGGCTAATCCTGGTGCTGGGGGTGTTCTTGGGAGCGAGTCCATTTTTCTTCTAACAGTCTCTCTAAGTATGGGGGCCAGGAGGTTCCTTACCTCTCTGATGTGAACAACACCCCTTCCTTGTCCACCTCCCATTGTATCTGTGAGGATCAGAAAAGAGAGTTAGTACCTATTAAAATCTAATTAATTCAGTAAAAAGAGACACAGATTTCATGCCTCTGATAAAGGGCAGATATAACAGACAGAAGTGTTCCTGGTAGAAGCTGGGAGTACACCGAGTCATGTTGGGGCTTCATTGCTCTATTTCTGTCTGTCTCTCTTTTTTAGAAATCCGCTCAGAATTTGATAAGATCGACACATCCAACCCAAACTGTGTCGTGATTGCAGATGCTGGTGATTACTTTTCTTATAAAAACATGAATAAAGCCTTCCAGGTGCTCATGGAACTGGAGAATCCTGTGCTCATATCACTGGGAAAAGGGTAAGTCAGCTCCGAGAGGGGTCATTTCCAGTTGGCTTGAACAATGCTTAGTGGTTCTCTGACAGAAATCAAGCAGGGAAGGATGTAGCCAGGTGGTGTAGCATGAGAACAGGGCAGCCTTCTCTCTGACCTTCCTCTCTTGCTTTTCCTCTTCATATTTATTTATTTAATATTTTAAAGCAAAAGCACAGAAAAATTAGAAAACAATTCAGCAAACAAACAAAAAAGGCAACAACAGCAAAAGCCAAATGGTGACAACAACAATAACAACAAAATAGTGATACAGGATTTCAAAGTAAGACGATAGGAATTTTAACAATGGTTATTATATTACATACTATCATCAAAATCGTTGCTCGGATTACCAGATACAGGCATGCAAAATCGATCAAACAATATGATTTCTCTTTGAGCAGTTTCTTTCTCTTCATTTTATCCTTCTTTCAATGATTTTTTTTTTTTGGAAAACATAATACTCTGTCCTTAGGATCCGGTGATCAAGCTTCCATGTGGACCTTCAGCTGGGTAGGAGGGGGCAGAGGGCACCATTGCAGATGGAGATCCTGTGGAGATCTCAGAGGCCAGATGTGGACTCAACTTTGTAGTACAGGAGAAGGTAGATTGGCCAGGATACAGCACAAGGTGTTAAAGAATGGTCCCAGGGGACACCTTAGCAATGACAAATAGTCTTAGGAGCCTTGGGGTTGCTCTGATCTGGGCTCCAAGTGTCTCTGACTGTAGAACATTTTCTCTGTAAAGTTCTTCTTTTGTGACCCGCACTTTGTCTGATCCTCTAGCACCTGCCTCATGGTCTGTGTTAGTCAGCTCTCCATTCTGATGACAGATACCTGAGATAAGTCAACCTAAAGGGAGAAAGGCTTATTTTGGCTCAGAGTTTCAGAAGTTTTAGTCTGCGGTCCCTTGTCTGCATTGCTTTTGGCCTGTGGCAAGACAGCGCATCATGGCAGAAGGATGTGGTAGAAGAAACCTGTTCATCTCACAGTTGCCGAGCAAGCAGAGAAAGAAAGAATTGGCAATCTCAGTATCTTCTTCCAGGGCACGTCCCCAGTGACCTCACTTCCTTTCACTAGACCCTGCCTTCAAAAGTTTTACAGCCTCCCATCAGCTGGAGACTAAACCTTGAACTCATTAGCTTTTGGGGGACACGCAAAATCCAAACCATTAATACCATTTCTTTAAAACAAAATGAAAACAAAACAGCATTTCATAATTTTTCTTAACATCTTTTCTTTTCTTTTTTGGACCGGGGATCAAACTCGTGACCTTGTGCTTGCCAGGCAGGCTTTTGTGCCACTGAGCTAAATCCTCAGCCCCTTAACATCTTTTCTTACCTCCAGGATAAGACATGTTCTTTGAAGACAAATTAGAAAATGCAGGTAAGTAAAAGGATAAAGCAAAAAGGTATTTTTATTCCCACTTGCACAAGGAAAAACAATGTCAGCATTTTGGATTATGTCCTTTCAAACAGATCTTTACAGATGGATGTAGTCACAGCACTGGTATCAAACTTGACCTTGTTTTATTACCTGTTTTTAATTGCGCTCCAAACATTGTTTTGGGAATGACTTTGCACATGATGAACAGATATCTCTGTGACACCATTACTCATCATATGACTGTCTTGTAGCTGTTTAACAAATCCCTATTGGTGGACATTAAGGTTGTTTCTGACTTTCTATTATAGTAAAGCTGTGCAGTACAGCTTTGTACATTTAGGTGATGCCTTCAGGGGCAGTTACAGAGGGAACGTTTTTGAGGTTCTTGATGTATGTCACTTAGTTGCTGTCCAGAAAGCTGTGCTGATTTATCCAATCATTAACAGAAATGACATTGAAATTTTACACTCCCAGCTTCTGTTATTGCAAGGACACTTTGGAGTCCCTATCCCAGCTTCTCAGGGAGCTTCTGTGGAACTTCTCAGGCCTTCTCTGAGGAAGCATTTCCATCCTTGGTGCTTCTAGTGACTGGGTACTCACAGCTTCTGGCTGCCAACCAGCTATTTGAGTAGAAAGGGAGGGGCTTCTAGTCTGGCGACTGGCCTTGGTGATTCAGCTGATGTGTTCCATTTTGTTTGATTCTGGTCACAGCCCTGGGAGTATAGGCAGGTGGGAGAGATGAAGTAAGAAACCTTGGTTCCTCAGGTGAGCTGTACCAACAGGAGCGCCCCTGATCTGGCCAACCTCAGGGCCTCTGCTTGTCACCTCTAGGTTACATTCCAGAACAGATGTTTGACCCATAAAGATCTTAAATAATTTTGAATCTGTTTAAACATTGGGAGATTTTATATAATACATCCAGATTTCTGAGCTCTTTTGAACAATCAGAAGGTCTGACAATATTAAGCCCTACATTCCTGATGCACAGCAGCTTACCTGGAACCAGCATTTCCATTAATTCCAGTGTGGTGGATTGACAAACCAATTGTTTGCCGTTGGTTTTCCTGGAAGAGTTTGTCTAGTTTCTTTCCTGATATGAACTCAGCTCTTCTGATCATCAGAGGAGCTTAGAATGGCTGTGCTTTATTTTGGGGGAGCTCTGGTCTTTACCACTTCCTGGCTCCAGAGGGGAAGATGTGAGGCATTTAATCTCCAGGAGAAGCTTGTCATCCTGGCTTCCTGATATAAATTCGGTTGTTACCATTGTTAGAGGAGCCTGAGACCGCACTGTCACTGAGGATAGCTGTGGTCCTTTTCGGGGGAGCTCTGGCCCTTACTTTGAGTGTTGCTTCCTGGCTTCAGTGCAGATCCCTCAGCCTACTGGCACAAATTCTTTATCCTGCTGGCACAGACTTTCTAGCTTCCACCACAGACCTTGGGCCTTCCCAGCGCTGATCTGTGAAACAGACTTGCATGGGTCATTGCAGTTGGATTCATGATGGACATTGTTATGGGCTTTAGGTCTTCAGCTGGACTCATGAGAGACATTACCACAGGATCCAGGCCCTCAGCTGGATTCCTTGTCTTTAGTGTGTGGACAGATTTCCTGTACTTTTTCTGTATGTAACTATTATAAAATAATTCTATAAATTTTATGCTGTGCTAAATTGTTCTCCTTATAAACCCTGACTACAACATCCAGTTTACCATAGACTCCACCACTCCTTATTTTCCATCTCCATCCTTCACCATCAGTTACCACTGTCCTGTTTGTTTTTTCACAGTAGAGAAATACTGTATTTCTTCATGCCATGTCTCTATGAAAAATAGGCAAATTAAAACTATTTCAAGAAAGAAAAGATAGGATATACATTCTTAGAAACTAAAAAGTTTTGGGTGTCATGTAAATAAAAGGAGTCCTGTATACGAATGAGGGTTCTCCAGAGACATAGGGTCCTGTTGGAGGTGGACACATGCCCAGGGTGATGGATTCACTGAGGAGGCTGGTGTGTTAGCTTTAGTTGATAGGGCAGAGTACCTGAGGATAACAGTGTAAAAGGAGGGAAAGTTTACTTTGGCTTATGGTTTCAGAGGTTTTAGTTGATGATTGGCTGACTCCAAGGCAGAAAAATCATGGTGAAAGGACATAGTGGAAGAAAGTTATTTACCCATGGCAGCTGGGAAGCCAGGAATGACAGGAAGGGACCAGGTACCGCTTATGGCAAACCTTTTATTTATTTATTTTTATGGCAAACCTTGTGGCATTTTCAGTGATAACAAACACCCCACGGTGGCACATGTACCATAGGTCTGTCACCACTGGCATGTATATACCCTTCAACCACGCAGCCTACTTCCTCCCGCTGGCCCCACCTCCTAACAGCCCCTTTAGCTGTGTACGCATCAGTGGCTTTACCCACTGACTATTGATGTGGACCAGTGCCCTCGTGCAGTCACCTCTCTGGGCCCACCTTTGAACATTGCTGCGTTGGGAATCCAGCCCAAAAAGTGAATCTTGGCAGTGGAGGTGGGGGGCGTAGCTTATAGCTAAACCATAACAGGTATAATCCAAAATCTGCAGAGTAGGGCTAGTGAGATGGAGACCTGGGCAAGTACTGTGCTTTGTCTCAATGCTGTCTGTTGCAGGATTCCTTCTTGCCCAGGGGTAGGTTAGTGTGCTTTGTTAAATCCTCCAGCTCATTGGATTTGACTCATCCACAGAATAGAGGGTGGTCTGTTTTCTTCAGAATTCACTGATTTAAGTGTTCATCTCTTCTAAAAAAAATGATCTTCACAGAAATATCTAGAATCATTTTTGACTACCTGTCTGGTCAACTATGGTCCAGCCACACTAAAATATAAAATTAGACGTCATCGTCCCTTACAGCCTTCAGCAATGTCAGTCACTGATATGAGGCCCGCCACAGCCTTGGCTTGCTTACCTCACACTGCTGGGCCCGTGGGTGTAGAGTTTTTAACTTCACACCAGGAAACAAGCAGAATGAAGAAGCTTTGTTATGACTTATTCTGTTAAAACTTTTTCTTTAAAGTTGTTCCTTAATGGTTAAAAGTTTTTATTCCCAGGTTATGAGTAATAGACAGAATCAGTGTATTATTGAAGGGGGGAAAAAAAGGAATCAGTGGCCCTCAGCTAAGTGATGCTGTGGCAGATGCAACAGTAGGCTGGTGTTTAGTAAGAGACGAGCAGTGTCTCTAGCAGGTGAGTCTTGACTTGGACTAAGGGAGGGATGTTTATAAAACTAGAAACGGACCGGACAGCTTTAGTGAGACCACAGCTTCTCCAAGGGTTCCAAGGAGCTGCTGTCACTTACTGACCTCAGCTGGAGGATTGCAGGTGAGGTGAGGGTCTGCGTGCTGCAGAGGACTAAGGAGTGGCAGTGGGGCTGTGGCAGGATGTCTTTCTGGAAATGGAGTGATTTACATTTGGCATCTGTTTGGACCCGAGAGTGGGAATTGGCTTTGTAATTTGTTCTGTCATGCCACCGTCAGAAAATTAAGCTGTTTACGAGACAGACTATGGAAGGTTAATGACTCTTCTGGGAAAGGTCAAGTGGTCATTTTGAAGAGAGGCTGCGCTGAATA